GCTAGAACGCGTAAGGAGCGTGGGTCCCAGTTCCAGACAGACTAGACAGCTGCGAAGATCAAATGGTCAAAGTGGACTCCGAAAAGGTAATTGATCGGGCAACTGGGCATCAACCAATTCATCCATCCTTTCGTGCGTGCTGCAGAGTCTGCAGCTGGGTCGAGCACTTTGAAATGCAGATATGCGGACGCCTACCCGAGCTTGGATAAGTCGACGGCCTCGGCGAAGCCGTTTCGTGCACCTGGAGTTCACAGTCCGTGCCTCAATCAGTTGAGACTAACCTTATTCACGTCCCCGTAGCTCTACACGTGAGGCTAGCAGAGCTGATATCAGTGGCCTGGAGTCAATAACACGGCATACTCTAGGGCTACACGACGAGGTTTCATGTTGAGCTGGAGCAAGCAGACTGCACCACCTCCGGTATGTGTCTTGACTAACACAAAGTTTTGCACCCCTGCAGAGACCTGAGGGTGAAGAAAGGTAAGCCGAACCTGGTCGACCAAATGGAAACGCCGGAGTGTTCACGTCCAGCGCCGATTTAGCATCCACCAAGAAGTGTTCTGAAGATCTTTTTCTATCAAGCTCGGCGGCTAGTCCTCAGTCCGTGCGGCCTGGCCCGCGAATTAGCTGCAAGGTACCGTGCATAAGCACTTGCTCTGCAAGGAAAGGCAGCTGAAGAGGCTGATGGCGGCCAGAGAGGCGCTGGTTTCTAGGTTTGCCAAAATTAATCGCAAGACACGAGGGCTTGCAAATCATTAAACCTCAGCTTTCCCTGTATGAGCTGAGCTGAATAGGAGGTGTGCGACCGTGATCTTTGAGCAGAAACACTTTCAGGTTCGAGTCGATACGGTAGACAAGCACCGCGTTGCGAGCCGGAACGGCCGTAGAATTTTCGCGAGAAACTTGGTTGCTGAAGGTTTGCACACTAGCGAATACAAGTAGCACCTGCATGTGCTGCTCGCGCCGCACAGTGGAGGCTTAAATCATAGGGGAGTTTAATCAATATTCGATAGCCCAGTATAACAGAAGCAGCCTAGGCGACTCCCACCGCCGTGGTACATACGATATGTAGCGCCTAATTCTATGTCGACTTTGCGATTGATTAGAGATTTGTGATTACCGTTGATGGACTTATGTCTCAAGGCACAGACATACCGCTGCAACGTCATGGTCGGAACAACCGTTGTGTGAGTTCTTCTGTCTCAGCCTGCACCACAGCCGGCGGACATCGGTAGTCGTAGATGTACCTGCGTAGTTTGCAGATAGCTCTGTTCTTGCGCATGAGGTCCGAGGTCTCAAAGTCTCTTTCGGCGCGTTCCTCGTTACTTCGTGAACAATATGCTGTCATAGCACATGCATATGCATCGAGAAAAAAGGGGTTGCTGTTGGCTAATGGTACGAAGTCGATGCTCTTACCATCAGTCAACGAAACAGAGGAATGCAGATCTGTAATTTCATACGTGCGAGAGGGTTGACCTTGATATCTTGCGATCGCCGTCTGCATCCAAGGCGAGCTGCCAAGCCAAGGCCGTCAATATGCGAGCAAAGTTTAGATAAACCTCCTCATGCAGGAAAACAATAGGACGGCATATACGATTTGTCGAATCCCAAGGGTAATCTATTATTCCATGCCTTGCAGCATTTTATTGTCTTGGAAGCACAGCGCTAAATCCTACCTCACAATTTGACTTGTTTGCTATGAGACACCCCTCGGACTGTGTGACAGTCAACCAAGCAGCTGGGGTGACGTGTGGGACGACAGACGACGATATGGAGAAGTTGGATGAGAGATGACAAGGATGAGAGAATCCCGCTGCTCCGAAATCACATCAGACGTTAATAGTGGAGCAGCGGAACAGTAACAGACAACCGCATGGCTTGTGTGTCAACCAGGATATGAGACTGCATGGTCCATGACTCCATCGACATCCCAGCTGTCAGGATGTTCGATTGCACACGTAACGTCCTCAAGCAACTACCACCTTGCTATGTGCTGAAGTGCACTACGTGCAGCTGTATATTTGCAATACTTACCTAAAAACAAGCTGGGGTCCGCGGGAAGTCATGAACTCAACGGCTCTCTGCGGACTTATTGCTAGACTCCAGACGACTGTGCAATTTTACAGTGACCGTTGTTCTATGCCATCGCATGGGAAGTGACAGGGAACGTGGGAGTAAGTGGGTACCCCTTGCACAGACCACCACACACCTGGTTATGTGTAGATCCTGGGTAGATCCTAGATAACTGTAGATGGTTGAGTTGACCGTTGATAAGACGAAACATCGGTCAGTCGCATCGAGGTGTGAAACTTCTTCACGTTCCGATGCATGCAGTCACCAATCGAAACCGGACTCTACCGTACGCACACACAAGGACCGGAGAGATCGTCCAAGAGTCCACCAACAACCTCGACGGACTGGCATATCACCGGTTGTTTCAACTGCATCAATGTCGAACGATCGTCATCATGCCAATGCTATCGATGATTCTATATGCAGAGATTGCAAAGAGATTGAGCTTTCCTTGTCGTGCGGCGCTGCAATATCATCATCAATGAACATCGCCCTTCTGAGACTAAGGACCTGGTGTCTCAAGCTCTCTCTGGACATGACACCTAATCTCAAACGCACTGTGTATTGCAATGCGATGTTCGTTGGATATTGTGGTGCTTGTGGGATCACTTGGGCTAGTCTGCCAGTCACGGACCGGACCTGATGATCAAATAGCGCTGTAAGGTTATCGCCGCCCGACGTTCATGGTACGGCGACTAGACGTAACTATACGGTGTTGAGACCCTCTGTTGCGAGTCAAGGCAGACAGTGCAAGTCCACAAGTCAATGCTCTATACAGATCGACTAAGATCATCCGGAGGTCTACTAACGTGCTCAATGGAAAACGGTGTGCACACCGATATCTCGATAGGACCATGACACTAGAGCCTATAATAGACAATATGGGGTCTGCTCATCACTCGCAGGTAGTCAGTATGGAAGATGGTGGAGAATCGTAGCGACGATGCCTGTTGGGGCTATGCCATCTAGCCACCATGGTGATCATACAACCCGGGTTCTTGTCGTGCGATTTGCTCCCGGGACCCACAAAGAGCGATGCTACCGATAACGCCTTCACGATCCTGGTTCGCTCAGACATATACGCGTCCTCCCTTGGAATAGGTCGTCGTCTGACTTCCAGTATGGGAGATCGGGACGCACATCCCGGATCATGATGTGGCACCGAAAGAAGGATACACTTTCCCATTCGATACGAGGCGTACAGGCTGCTGATCCAGGTGGAGCAACTGACCATCATCAGGGTGCTGGACTCAACGCAATGGGTGGTATCGAGAGCTAGAATGATGGTGAAATCGTTGTTCGAAGCGTACGGCCGACAGCAAGCACCCAGTGGCAAAGGATACAGAGCGGGTAAACACAAGCGAGCATAGCTTGACGGTGATGACGAATACAGGGAAGTTGGGAGCATCGAGTCGAGCAGAACACAACGAGTTGACTGACCTGGCCTTCGCGCATGCCCTGGTGTTCATGTCGCTCTTGAACTTTTCGTTGTCTGACTCCTACAAGCTTCTCTCTACTTTCGTACGACCTCCCCTGTACTGAAGACAGTCACAGTGTTGCTATCAAAATGCACAATAGTTTCCATAACAGAGCGAGATCCATGGAGACAGGATAATTCTTAGGCATCTCTATGGCCACACTCCTATTCAGAAAGCGACTGTGCATTTTCATAGCACATACCAACACTATATCAGTGTGGGAGAGCGGTCGATCGCGAGGTTGTGACTGTCCTTCGCATATGGAGAGTGAAGAAAAGCACAGTGTTTTCTTGATGTCGCAAGAGGTCCAGTGGGATACAATCCTAGCAAGCGCTGAGGCTGGTCGTATCTCATCTCCCTAGGTGCTCGGGTATGTAATCTTCACCTTGTTCTCCCCATCGAAGTATACAACAAGGTTTTCGAGACCAGAGATGTAACCAAAGAGAGCCGATCGCGTGTCCTCTCTCGTTGGATATTGTCCTGTTTCTCAAGAACGTTGTGCACTTCTATGACACGCATCCCATAGTTCAGCATACCAGGGCAGACAGGACGGCAGATACGTTGCTGAGTTGTTGTTGGGACTTCGGAACGGGCTGTCTTGGAGCTTAGGGTATTGTGAAGTCGAGCGATTGGGATTCGGACAGGGACACCCTGACATGGAGATGCAACAGTTTCCAGAAGCTTGCCCTCAGGCCTCCCACTGAACGAACAGGTAATTGTCAGAGCCTGGCTTCAGGATCCGACGAGAGAATCGGAATGATCGTGTAAGCCTCCACAGTGTACGAGGTCAGTGTGCGGCTTTGGATGTGAGAGGCCGCTCTGGAAAGGCCAAGGGAAAACGGTCGGCCAGCAACATCAGGTGGAGGATCAGGGCGTGTAAGCCTTGTGGTTCGGACTTGTCAACAGGCTACGGCTCATTTGGACTCAGGCATCGGTTAGCAAGGGACGGCAGACAGCCATGTAGGATTCAGTCGTGGTTCGGCGAGGGACTTGTGTCGAAGTTGGATGGTGGAGGTTGTGCAAGATGGTTGCTGGGCAACGCAGCGGCAGCGTACCAAACAACAAAGACGAACTCTGGCTGTTAAGTACGGTGGATGGTGGATGGTTTGGCGCCGGCGGCTACAGCAATTCTCGTTTTGTCTTCATCATTCTGTTGACGTCTTGTCTAAGAGAATCAGTCCTAGATAAGTAGGGTAACTACTAGCATTCCACAGTGCAGTTCGCAGACGCTTGATCGTTGGATCCTCCGGCACGCTACTCCAGACTGCCGACACTGGCGTGAACGAGTGAACGAGGCGCGCAGCACCCGAGTCGTCTACAAGCAGAAGCTGCGACCCAGACAAGCAAAGCCGCTGCCCAGTTACATGCCCTCAAACACCAACATCTGACGGTTTGGTCCTTCGCTCTTTCCCCCACAGGCTGCCGGCAGCTCCTACCTTCGCCGACGACATGGACACTGGTCATCTGTCGCACCAAGTTACGACCATCATCAATCAGCTGCATGGCGTCTTCGACGAGATCGGCCTACCCACACATGAACGAGACGAGCGGGAATCAGAGCTGTTCGCTGCTCTGTCCGAAACACTAAACAACCAGCTCAAACTGGTCGCAAAGTGAGCTGCACCCCACCGAGCATGCGCATCCATAAATCACACGGTGCTGACGTGCGCTGCTAGAGAGAAGCATGATTTGACAGATGAGGCCCGCCGTCTGATCAAGTCGATCCGCCAGATGGAGGCCGCCTTGGTCGACGACAAGCCCCACCGCGACAGCGACTGCCAGGACGAAGATCTGTCCATCACGCTCCCTTTGCGCGACTGCATTACATCTCTCAAGGACAAGCACAACACTGTTTCCAGGATCCACCGCGAACGCTACGAACAGATTAAGAGTCCGTCTTACCATCTTATCTGTCACTCTATTTTGCGCTGACCCTTTTTACAGNAGCTCGCCGAAGCGCTCGAATCCTATGCCTCGCACCTCGAACCATCCTTCGTCACCATCAAACTCCCTCCCACCTCGCCCAACTCCAAGATAGCTCCATCCTTCGATGTCTCGCCCTCGTATGTCAACTCTCTGGACAATGCCTTCACCCGCGTCTACGAAGAATACAACAAGCGCCTGGTCACGGTGCAAACTCTGGCAGAAGAAATCATCATGCTCTGGGGTGAACTGGGCACCCCTCAAGCCCAGATCGACAGCACCATCGTTAAGCACGCTCGCAATGCTCCCGAACAACTGGGCCTACACCACGACGATCTGAATCGACTGAAGAGCAAGAAGGAAAAGCTGCTGGCCGAGAAGCGCAATCGCGAGGTCAGACTAGAGGAGCTAAAAGAGGCGATTGAGGCATTATGGGACAAACTGGGAGTCGATGAGAGTGAGCGCAAACCATTCTTGGCCAGTAACAGAGGGTGTGGGCTGCGCGCCATCAACGAGTTCGAGGATGAGCTGGCTCGTCTGAACGAGCTGAAACGCCAGAACCTGCACCTGTTCGTCGAAGATGCTCGGTTCAAGCTACAGGAGCTGTGGGATGGTCTCTATTTCTGCGAGGAGGAGATGCTCGAATTCACGCCGGCCTTCTCAGGTGAGTTGAGCAGCAGCTTGATATGCTCAAACAACTGACCACCAAGCANNGATGTCTACTCGGATGCTTTGCTCGAGGCTCACGAGGCCGAGATTGCCCGCCTCGAAGCGCTCAAGGAACAACGCGCGCCCACTCTGGCCATGGTCGACAAGTACCGCTCGCTCGTCAAGGATCGCGATGACTTGGCTGCTTCGTCGCAAGACGCCTCTCGTCTCATGCTCCGTGGTCAAAAGGGTGAAAAGCGTGACCCTACGCGTCTTTTGCGTGAGGAGAAAATGCGCAAGCGTATCGCGAAAGAGTTACCCAAGGTCGAAAGTGATCTGCGCCAGATCCTCGAAGAGTGGGAGGAAGAGTACGGCCGCCCCTTCCTTGTCCACGGCGAACGATACCTGGACGAGCTAGAAGCCACATCGCAGCCTTCCTCCCAAGGCTCGGTGCGATCAAAGACGCCATCGATCCCTCCGCGATCAAAGACGCCGTCATCAGTCCCGCCTTCGACTGTGCGTCCCAAGTCTGCAGCCGCCGCCGCTCCCACGACCGCTATCAAGAATCAAACATTGCGCGGCCCTCCTCGCTCCAAGACTCCTACCGCCTCGCGCAATCCTTTGGCCTCGTCTGTCATGGGTCCTCCCTTGTCCATTTCATCGTCTAACTCCTCGTTTGCAGCTTCGGTCGGTCCGGGTAGTCTCCGCAGTCCCTCCAGAATCCCTGGCCGTCAGCCCCTGAGCAGTATGCTACAGGCTGGCAACTCAACCGCACGTCGTCCTCCCCCTGGTCCCTTGGGTCATTTTAGAACAGAGTCCGACAGCAGCACTCTTCGGAGCCGTATGGCTCCTCCACCGCGACCCATGCCCTTGTCTCGCGACTTCTTCTCTCCACCCGAGACCCCATGTCCCATCAACAACGCCGACATGTCGTTTGAGCGCAGCGGCAGCATCATACGCCGCATGAGCCCCGAAGACCCTTACAGCGACCGCAGCTCGTTGCGCTCTGTTCGCACTTTCCAATCGACGGCTTCCTCACGCCCGGCATCTCAAGCTACCCACCATTACGTGGCAGCTGCGCCGCGACCCTCGCCACGCTTCGAGTACCCTGCTGCACCGCCATCGCTAGCCATGACCCGACAAACGTCAAACGCTTCGTCTGTCGAGACTTCCAACTCTGCCGTGTCTGGCTCCGAAAACTGGGAGACATATACGGATGCTTCTGACGACGACGAGCCTGATGCCCGAATGGCTTATCATGGCAAAGTGCGTACCGCTAAGCGTGACTCTCCAGAGGATAGCGCATACGAGTGCGCTGGAAAGGGCTTTGGCGCCAAAGTCCGAGCAATAGGTGTCTCAGATGATGGCAGCGAGGCCGCATGGTCTGACGTGGGTGAGACGTTCTGATGAATTTCCTTCCTCCTTTTCTTCTTATGACCACCTTTACTTCCAATTCGCAATGTCCGGATCCACTTGGTAGATCTCGTTTGGACAAATGATGTTCTTTCTGTTCTTTCTGGGAGGCAGCGCTTTCTCTTCTTCTTCTTTTTCATACTACCATTTTGATGAGCATCCTTTTCTTCCATGCTCTTCTTCATTAGATGCTTCGTCATGGTTCTTGTAGTACTACACTTTTGTCCTTTGCATCTTGGTCACGATGACGATGCCCGCAATATGAACTTTTTCAAATCACTATCACCCCCTGTCAAATACATCTTATGCATTTCCATAGCTCTGCGCTATCATATTAAGCTATTTGGGAGCTGGCATGCTTCAATGACCCTTTCGTCTATTCTTTTGTGCCTTTTTGATTGTCATGTTCACAGTCATCTCAGTTTGATCGTCACCATTCGAAATTGTCAACTTGAGGCTTGATCTAATGTTGTTGGCTTCAGCTGCACTTCCTTGCAGTCATTGATTGTACAGCTAGAGGGCGTGTATGGGGTGATGGGCAAATGGTTTGGGTCGCTTATCATACTGGACATTCAAGAAACTGGTTGCTCGAAGCTGAACTGACTCTGTTTACAGAATCTTTCAAACAAACACTAGAGGTCCAGCCTTGCCCTCTGTCTTGTTTACACCTTGTAAAACATATACAAGGACAGAGAGGGTACAGGAGCAACAAGTTTCGGTCCATGCATACTGTAGCATCCGGGAGGGTGACACAAGGCAGGCAGTGTCCAACAAAGATCACATCATGCAAGGGAATAGTACTCCCTCACATAAACTGGGACTGGTGAGTACATGTCAGTGTATCGGTAGAGATAGGCCGTGCATATCTGCTTTAGTGACCTTATCATACGGATAGATGCTTGTTATTTGAGATGGACAACGACAACTACCGTGCAACGTTCACCAGAGAAGCGGACAAGATTTCCTTCTGCCAAGGGCACAACTCAGCATGGTGGTGTGCATAGGATGGCAGAAGTATTCGAGGGTTGTATTTGTTTTCATTGAGCAAGGGTTACTGTTTATTAAAGACGAGCAATCGAGTGAGCTACCTAATATCTATGCTTCATGACAGATGATCGGACGGAGTGCGTCGACAGCAATACACTCTGCTCTTGGAGAAAAGCCATGTGCGTATGTAGCGATGAAGGAGATAAAGATGTCGTGGATGGAGTGACGTGTGCTGGCAGGGTTCCGTGGACGTTGATCGTATATCAGGCATCGTAACAGTTCTGATCGACTAGAAGCATCAACTTCGGCCATTGGCTCATTTCTAGATCTTTGATGCGTTTCGTGGTCACAGCGTCTCTCTTCGCCTTCTCCTCGACAGACAAGTTTTTGTCTGTAGTGGGGAACGGAACTTGTCTCAAAGGTGAGGAGGAGCTGGAGACGGAAGAAGCAGCAGACAGAGCGCCACGTAGCTGAGATGGATGTACTGATGGTTTCAAGGCGAGCTGCAGCATTGCCCGAGCGAAGCGTCGTTGATGTTCCTCGGTCAGGTCCATTGAGGTGCGGTCGATCAACACGGAGCTTGCTGATTCGCCAAAATATTCGCCTTCATCCCTGTACATAGGATCAAGGCGTACTTCCCATTGCGCAGCTTGAGCTGGAAGAACGAGATAGCATATGGTTGCCTTCTCGGGATCGGACACGCTGCGAGAATAGCGTCTATCGGTTCTTTTCAGATACTCGGTTGTCGAGTCATCGAGATTTTCGTGCATGAAGAAGGCGTTCAAGCGGAAGTACTTGCGTAGTACNCTGGAGCATAGGTCAGTTCCATCCTCGATACGTGTCAAACTTGTACATACGTCGCTGTTGCCACTAGAGCTTATGTGCGTGCGAACCTTGGATGGCCAATTCGCTTTGCTTTCAAAGCGATATTCCCAGACAAGTTCGTTTTCGTCTCCAGAGTTAGAGTCGCCGGAGTAATAGTAGTCGTCGTCGACTCCTGCTTCGAAAATATCCTCGAGCATCGACTTGTATGTTTCTGATTGACAAACAAGGCCTACATCACCCACATGCTCCTTTGCACTACACGACCCCTCGAAGCAACAGTACTTTCTGGCCCATCCGTGGCCAAAGCACTTTTCCTGTCGACGGTGCCAGACAAGAAGCTCGTCTTCGATGAAGCCGATGAGCTCTTGAGGAAGTTTGGTGATTCCAGCGCGCTCGCCTCTGCCAAATCGATTGCACAGGCGCAGGGTGTGAATGGTGGGAATGGCCTTGCGAAACGCATCGAGGTTGCGGAGGAGGTCTACCGGCTTGACTGGGATGCCCCTAAGGCGGATGTCAGCACAGCATTGGACCGAGACGTGAGGAGAAGCGTACCAGACGATGGCAGCGGCGGTGTCTCCCATATTGAGAAGCGGGAAGGTGGGACCTTGTGCGTTGTCCTGAGCGATGAAATGACTGCGCGTAAGCTGCGCGGAGTGGATAGATTTGTGTCGATTGCAGACGTGATAGAGTTGATGGAAGTGGAAGTGAGAAGATGAAACTGCTTCGTTTGATGTGGTCAGAAAAACAAATGAATGGCAGAAAGAGAAGCTGCGCGCAAACGCAAAGAGCGCGGTTGCCTTGGAGTCAGCAAACAGATAGCACAGCGAAATCTTTTCTTGCATGTGCCTTCTGGTTGAGGCAACTGTGACCTGCATTATCTTGCTCTTTCTCTACGAAGAAATGCCACCTAGCTCTCAATCATATTGACAACGCATTTCAAGACAAAGATGATATCCTCTTCTCGATGTCTTTGTGAATTTCTATAGCCTACGGTATTGCTTTGTGTCGTCGTGAGAAAGCGGTTGGACGTGGCCGGCTATATGCTTGTCAGAACACACTGAACTCAACTCGAGCTCTCCCTGGTCAAGGCCATGTTTGAGGAGAGTCATGTACATTGAGATATTGGATCTGGGAGGGTACCATGCCGAAGGAGTTGAGCCTGACCCTGACATGTCTTCTTGCCTGAGCGACCACTCTGGACACACCTCTACCTTGAACTCATGGTCTGTACTTTACCCCATCTACTCTTCTCTGCATTGTGAGAGCTACACGAAACAGTTTCAAAATGTCAGGCGTGCACTGAGAACATCACACGAGGTCAAATAGGCATGACTCTCCGTTCCACAGTTTGCAAGACCTCTGTAATTGAGTTGTGTCGAGAGCAATCGAGTAGATTTTTCCGAGTTCGAAACTTGGGTGGCAGAGAAATGGTCAAATTGTTTTCTCCAACGTTTTCAAGTGCCGTCGGTATGATTGCGGCGGGTGCCTGCATGGTTTGTTGACACTCTGGCGGATGCCGTGAAACGCAGGCTAGACTCGTACGAATTTGAAGCGCATGTCAACCACTCGTCTTGTCGGGACCATCTTGGCTGTGTGCGTCTGTAAACAGTTTGAGGTCGTTACGGAAAGCTTGACTATCTAGTTGGAGGGGATGGCCACTGTGTTCTTAGGTTGAATGTAATGGGATCGGAGAATTGATTTGATAGGAGGCAAATGAGAGCGATCGGAGCGAGAGGCGCTAGGATCGGCACAAAAGCGTACCGGATGCCGGGTGGTTGACATGTTGACCCCTGAAGGCTTTTGTTTCCAATCAAAGAGCTGTTGGTTGCTAACGCCCAGACCATCACTTTGGCGAGCATTATTTATCATTGATACTCGGCGCACCTCGCAATCTTGAACCTTTGGACTCTTCTTCTACTATCTCTCGGCATTTCGGATTCCTACGACCCGTCGCAACCGCTCGATCGCCAGGCACAGCACGCGAAAGAGGCGTCAGATTGGCTTTGCGACAACAAACGTCTGCGATAGGTTTCGACTGTCCAAGGACTTCTATCGTGGCTCTGCCCGGAAAAGGTACGTCAGTGTTGCGGTAGCAGAGTCCCTGGTCAAATGTGCATGACCGCTGCATTTCGGCAACAAGCCAAGGAGATGATTGGGCACGGCAACGCGATCCAAGGGCACATCGCGATTGTTGCTCGGCGGGAGCAGCAAAACAAATTGCGAAAAAGGCTTGAGGATGGCTTCTCCGCCACGTTCCGAATGCACTTGGCGCGCAGACGTCGTTCCGTCATGGCCGTTCCCCTTTAATCAGCCATGACAAGCCCCCGATTTCATCGTCCGCCCAACCTCTCGATTGTCCTTGTTGTCGTTTCTGCCTGCGTCGCCTTGCTCGCTCGCACATCCACCTTTTTACCACATAATTCTAATCCCTAATCGTGCAGGAGCACGCTGCCTCGAGCCATGCCGATACGCACCATCAATCCCTTTGTCGCGAACTCTCCCTCACCCTCGGTCGATGTCCTGAGCGAAAAGCCCTCTCTGCAAAGCTACAAGTCGCCCTCCACCAAGTCCAACAGCCGCATCGCCAGCTTCTTCTCGTCGCCCAAGGTCGCCTCTCTGCACCCGAACCCTCAGCACACGACTCGCCGTCCTCCCTCGCCTCAAGTCAACCGCGCCACACTGTCACTGCCCACAATCAACCTCACCACCGCTACTGGCGAGAAGAGCAAGATTGAGGAGAGGCCAATGACCCTTTTCCAGCCCCCTTCACCCGAAGAGGCGCGCCGCATTGCAAAGGCACACGCCGCTTTTGGCCCCATTGGCTCGCAAGAGCACCGTTACTCGAGTCGTCACGATGGACAAGCCTTTCCCGAGCCTATCGAGGACACTCCGCCCTACTACTTCCTCCTAACCACATACTTCAGCTACCTCGTGCTCATCATCTTCGGCCACGTGCGCGACTTCTTCGGCAAGCGCTTCAAGCAGGAGCAGTACAAGCACCTGTCGGCACGAGACGGATATGCACCGCTCAACAGCGATTTCGATAATTTCTACATCCGCAGACTGCAGCTGCGCATCAACGACTGCTTCAGACGCCCCATTACTGGAGTGCCCGGTAGATTCATCACTCTGCTCGACCGCAAGTCTGATGACTTCAACCTGAGTTTCAAGATGACGGGCAC